TATGAATATAAAAAATCGATAATTTTTTCAAATAATTATATTATGATGTTATATTGATCTGTTTTTACACACACTGTAACGTTTTACAGTAAAATACTGCTAAAATTTTGTAATAATTTTACAAATATAATAAGTAAATAAAAATAAATACTTTATAATAATTAAATAAATAAATATTTTACAAATATTGTTGAGCTATGTCGAAATCTAGAGAAAAAAGCGAGGCTCTCGCTCAAATCTTTTTCGTAGAAATATCAAGCGACTAGAGAACCTCGGGTCGTTACATACTGATAGTGAACACAGACGATCGTTTGTGCAATTTAACGATGTCTGGTAGGTAGGAAGGACGGGCTGCTCATTACATCCGTGTGTTGTTTAATATCGAGTTGATGCACAATCCACGACATATATATCTCTCTCTCTCTCTCGCCGCGCTACCGATTTATTAATCCATATTTTTCACGAGCCACATGAGCGTGCATCGCGCGAGCGCATTCATCAGCCAGAAAGAGAAGCCTGTACTATCAGATCGCCCGGTAGAAGACGCAATAGCGGCGTAATTGCTCTCGTCCGTCAATGACACTTGGAGATCTCGTGCCGCTCCTCCTCTTCATTATATACGCAGATAATCATAAGCCTGCGTATACGTAGTGCGTGTACGTGTGAGCACAATGCGGCGGACACACCCCGCGATATCCGCGATATGATAACGCGCGTGTGCTCGACTCGAGATCCCGAGTCGTAACGCGAGACAACTATGATCAATTATGTTCATTATAATCCATAATAAAAATAATTAATTTAAAAATGAAAGATATTACTATATAAAATGTTGAAAATTATAACGACCAACTCTAGGGTATTTTAGTCAAGACCAACATTTGACAGAGGTTTCATTACTTTTTTTCGTTTCAAAGGAAATCACGAATGCACTCGATTCGTGTGATCTTCAAAGAGATAAATAATATTTCGCGATGCAGATTTGATTTCCGAAGGAGGACGCTCCCTCCCCGAGGAAGGGAAAGGGAAGCTTCTCTCATTACGCGTCGGGCAACTCGAAACAGCGAGATGCGGGGGAGGTGAGCTTAACGACAATTACAAAGCCCGGGGTATAATACGTGATGCAAAACCGACCGAGGGTCTCTGCGGATCCGCGGGTCGTCGTGCAAAATTCTGAATGCCCGAGTATCCTCTTTCCTCGAACCTCTTAGCGCTACTTAGCGGATCCTTTTACGGGACAGCAGGGACCCGACAAGAAAGGAAGGCACGACGTAAGGGGTTCGAAACAAGAAGAGACGAAAAAGACGAAGAAGGAGCTCGAGAGGAGGTGGAGAACCCGAGGAGAAACAAGGGAGGGAGATGGAGGCGGAGGTGGAGTAGAGTACCAAAATGGCGGTGAATAAGCCGAGGGACAAGATAAGCCTTTGTGCCCAGTGCACGGGGGCCCACGCGGGCCCGGGGCAACGTCGTCGTCTCGGTCTCATATTTCGCGAATCCCGCTATCATATTTTATACCGCCCCGTCGTCCCCCCCCCCCTCCTCACCTCCCTTCCTGTCTCGCCAGGTACCTTCGAGGGCCCGAGAATCTCTCATTTTTTGTTATCTCACTTTTCGGACCCTCGATTTCCTCCCGTCCGGTCTTTTCGGGGCACGGCTCCTCTTCGATGTTAAGGGACTCGATTCGACCGACTATTCACTAATACAATGGACGTATAACTGACGCACTCCAAATTTTTTTTTTTCGCGTGAGAATATAAAAGTTATACGATAATCCAGAGTATAAAAGATATATATATGTGTGTAATATATTAATAATATATTTAACTTTTATAGATATAATTTTTACCGTGAGTCATAATTTTTCTTCTAATTTTATGATCTCGATTTTCCACCTATAAAGTAAAAATTCTATATAAATTAAATCTATCAAAATTCTCTAGATTTTATAAACATTGAGAGAATTGAGATTGAAAATAAAAGCAAAATTTCATTTGGATACAACGATTGATTTTGCTATGGATTTTTTTTTTATCGGAATAAAAAAATACTGAAATTTTATAAAAATAATGTAGTTGCATAAATTTTATATGAGTTAAGAATAAAAGTATGTATTAAATATCAATCATGAATCTTGAATTAATTACAAAAATACTGAGCATAAATTAATGTGAAGGATCTTGCTTATCTACGCTGTCAAACCCTGTCCATCTGGTAATCTTAAAGTATTCGAGAAAGTCCCCAGACGATTTAATAATAAATATTAATATCAATTTTTTGTTATTATTTATGTACATTCTTTCAAAACGTTTAAAAGAATAGATATATATCGAAACGATCCTCCCCCCACCCACAAAATATATTAATACTAATTCCGAAAAAAGACTTACTCGAGTTTACTCAACAAACTTAAGGATTTTACTATAACATTAAAAAGACAAGCCTTAATAAATTGTCACGAGATATAAAATATAATTCGAGAGTAAAATGAGCAATGACAACGAGGCGACGAAGGGTTTCGCTCCGCCGAGAGTTGCGCGAATTGTAAATCGATGCTATAAATCGAGTGCGTAGAGGAAAGGAAAGGAAGGACGCGAGAGAAGTAAACGGAATCCCACTCGGGCGTTCGTAATCAATGGCCGCTATTTTCGCGTCCCGACTTTGCGCGTTTATCGCGTTTAATGCTCCATTTGTCGCACCGCCTTTGAGTCAATAGCCGAAAATAAAATTTTAGAGTAATATCTCAAAAGTATGATAATAAAAATACATCGTGTCAAGTAAATTTTGGAATGGGATCTAACAAAATAAACTGTCCGCGAAGAAAATTTTCGACGCCCGCGGAATTTTTATTTCTCTCTTTTTCCCTCTCTATCTATCTTGCTATGATAAATTTATATGAGATTTATTTATTTATAATATTTATTTATCTCTTTCAATATGAAAGAATCAAACGTATTATACACGTCATAACATAGATAATAATTTAATATAATAATAAATTTATTACATTAAATTTAAATAATAATAAATTTTTTTAATTCAATTTAATTATCGTATATGAAAAAAATTATTTATGTGTGTTTTCATAGCAAACATTTACTTCAAATATTTAATTAATTATTAAGATTGGAAATGTCATTATAAACTTTTGCCGAGATTAAATTAAATTTCACAAAATATGCATCCTTTCCTCTCTTTCCTATCTCTGTTTCTATCTGTAGTTCTATCCTGTTCTATCACGCTATTATTTTATATAAAATACTACAAAAGCTCGCCACAAGTATGTATTAGAAGAACATTAACAACTCTGTTCTAACAGCCGGTGAGGATCACGCGGAGCTATAAACAACGACGTTCCATCTCCGGCCATTATTTAATCTACGATCATTTATATTCCCACCGTAATCATCGCTATCAATTCTACGAAAAGCGAACTCGCGCGCGCGCGTGTGTCGATCGTAAATAAACTCGAGAACACAGAGATACTCTCCGGCGAGATTTTGCGAGATTCGTTCGCGATATCAAGGGTGACGCGCTCGCTCTCTCGCCGTCGATTATATCGATTATCGATCGCGCGGATCTCTCTCTCGCGGCCCCTATATCTCGGAAAGGCCCTTAAGGGGCCCCCCGAGAGACAGACGGAGGGATAGATCGCGTCAAACAATTAAGGCTGACTTACGCGCGCTCTGCGTTGAAGGAGCGAACGAGCTGGAGCAGCCGGTCGCTGCCCTTGCGGGTATCAGATAATGCGGACCGCGGCGCGGCTGTCATCTCGGAAGAATTTACCGGCGACGTCGACGGCGGGCCCAGGGGGCCCGGGGAAGCCCCGGGGTTCGCGGCAGCAGCCGCCGGCCGCCTATCGCGCGGCGGATCCGCGTCTCTCATCTCGCGATTTCCCGCGAAAATCGCATCTTGACTCGGAAACGCGTTCTTATGTGAGATTATCGCGTCTTAAAATTCTTAGAATATTTATTTATTTATTTATTTAATTAGAAACGGGACAAATCCCTTTGATATAATAAATGAATTACATGATTGGTAACAAAAATAACAATTAAAAAAGAATACAATGAAAAATACAGCGTGTAAAGACATTTTTCAAAAAATTCAAAATTTTATAAAAAATGAACCCTTTCACCAGTACTCACCAAATTCAGTACCAATCATCCTTTAATAGAAAACTCGAAAAAAAATTTTGTCACGAAAACAAAGCTTCCTCTATGAGGAAGCAAAAATATAAAGTTATTAAAAATAAGACAAAACCAAAATAAAGGGAAAAAATAAAAATCGCATTATAAAAAAATCCTCCTTTTAGGAAGCATAAGATCTAAAATTAAAAAAAAAAAAGTAAACTAAGAATATTTGCCGATAAAACAAATCTCTCGGAGAAATTTTATTCGGATGTCAGTGTATGTGTATGCGATAAAAATCTTAGCTATAATTTAAACCTGATTATCTGATTTTTGGCTGTCTGTTTTCTTTGTGGAGATAATGGGTACACACGACTTACCGTTACCATAAGGAGATGTAACTTTCCAACGGAAGGAACCTTTTTCGCTTTTATACAAACTACTCACGCGAGGACAAAAAACATACCGTCCACGTCGTTTCGAGCGAGAGGAGGACCGCGAAAACGAACGAGGGAAGCGGGTACTTCCCAGGAAGATAATTGCAACTTTCACGGCAAACTTTTTGCCGAGAGACGATCGGAAAGCGCGCGGATACACGTGCGATCGATATACACAAGAGCTCTATTTGCGCGAATATAAACGACAAAATTCGAAGCAAAATTGCCACCGTGAAAGCGACCCGGGTGCGTCTTCGATCGTTCGCGGTCACGCGAGGAGGCAGAAGAGGAATCATCCGGCGTGTCCCTTTTCAAAAACGTGCGAAGAGATGCACGGCTGCTTTCTCTCGAGAAAAAGAGAGAAGGGAACGCGGGATGCGACATTGAAAGGGCACGTAATGGTGGGATGAAGTGCAAGGAAGACGTATGTACTTACCAGGCATGCAGACGCATCGAAAGGTCCCAGGATCGTCCAGGCAGGAACCGTCGTTTTGGCAAGGATGGGACTCGCACTCGTTCACGTTCGTCTCGCATCGTGGACCGGTGAATCCTTGGGTGCAATTGCATGCGAAGGAGCCGGGCGTGTTCACGCAGATACCGTCGTGCTCGCAGGGAGAACCTGTACAAGAGAAACCAGAAAAAGACGTTGTTATTACGCTGGAGAAAAATATCGTCAATTCAGAAAAATTTTGTTTGATTTAAAAGAATTATTTATTTAAATACTTGCAAAGAAATTTATTTATTTAAAAAAAAAAAAACATTTTTTAATTTTTTGGCTGCTTGTTTCAAAAATACAGATTTTCTTTATTTTAATAAATAATTTTTTATCTTCAAATAAACATTTTATTAAAATGGTCCATCCTGTATATGTATAATACGTAAGGGTAATCACAATTTTTTTTCCTAAACTTGAAACTTTATTTACCCTATTCTCTTTTTTTTTATATTTTCTTATCTCCATTAAAATTCAGATCGCGAATTGTATGATACTTTATGTAATATCTCTCTTGCACGCTAACTGTTATTCAAATCGTATTAGTAAAAAAATCTCGATTGTGTGCCAAGTAATACATGAATGTCTTTTTCGTTGAAAAAATAATTATTCTTATCTTAAGTGCACATCGATGCAGATAATATTTTACTTTTATGGAAAGTAATTTTTTTGTTTAGAGATACTGTTTTGCAATTTAAATGGGATTCGATTTTTAATTCCACCTATACGAGTATACTGTTTACTTATTATGTGTATAATTAAAACGCTATATCCGCTAAAAAAATTTTAGTGTAAGAGTCGATCAAAAGAGGAACGCTCGGGATAGTTGAAATAGAAATGGATTAAATTTAGAATTTGGCGAAAAGAGCGGTATCTCGGGCAGTCATTCCGTGGACTTTAAGCATACATAAAGCAAATCTCTTTGATATATTTCGATCCGTCCTTCTCCTATATAATGACAAGCTACATGTCACTCGATCACGTGCTCTGTCGGATAATTGACGCTACGAAATTCCAGCGCTCCGGAGCAATTTTGCGCGAGTTTGCTCTTCGGTGAAAGTTCATCCGGTTTCGGTATCGGTACATGCGTTACCATTTCGAGTAAAATTTCTTTTTCCCCGTTCGCCGAGCTGTGGCTGAGAAAAGGAAAGGTGACCGCGCGCAAGGAACGACTTTTCGCGCGCCGATGGTTCTTATCGATGATTTAAACCGTGGCGGACACACGGCTCGCATAATAATTATTATCTTAATACCATTTTAAGAATCGATTTTAAGCATCTCCGCCGTTGGTCCAGCGGCGGACATCGCTGGATAGTGCTCCTTAATTGGCAAACTCGCCGACACTTTTTAGACGCCGCCATTAGGGTGTGAGAGAGAGAGGAGGGGGAGAGGGAGAGGGAGAGAGAGAGAGAGAGAAGAGCCACTTCCCTTATACTCGGCTAAACTCGATCGTAAGAAGGAGCTATGCTGGTAGAGAATTCTCGAGGCACCGACGGCGACGGTTCGTTTAAAGGAGATCGCGTTTTGCCCGCGGAACCCCTGTCTTTTCCCGGAGATATGTAGCCCTCTATAATTGCAATGAGATAATTGCTGCGGGCATAGTTGCCTATCCGGTGTGCCTCGTTAAATAAAGGCTTTATCAAACACATTTTTCTCTCTCTCTCTATCTATCTATCTATCTCTCTCTTCTTTCTCTACGCACAATGAAATATGCATTTTGATCATGATATCATTTTATTTGCTATTTATATACGGTATGAGTAGAAATTTTCTTTTTCAACTTCAATTTTCTCACGTTTCTGAATTCTATACAGAATTTTGATATATTTCATTTATAAGTAAATAAATTTATACGTAAACAAATATTTTTCCGCTTAGAAGAGAGAGCTTTTGGCAAAATTATAGATTACATAACTTCAAAATAGAGTGATCTGATTGTTTATAATATCAAAGTAGATGTTGGAAAATTGAAATTAAAAGCAAAAGAAAATTGTCCAATTTTTGCCTTATTGCGTGATAATTTCGTGATATTAGAATTAAAACAAATAAATAAATAGGCTTAAGGAGGAATAGCAGATGCCCGCGCAATATATTTAAGTCATGAAAATTGTCCCGAATGTCTTAACGGGTAAATTGTAAGATTAAACATTCTAATGTGAATAATAGTCGCTAAAGACGCAAATCACAAAAAATAAATAACTTAATAATAAGCGCGCGCGAATGTCTTAACGGAAATTTTGAAATTAAACATCTCATAAATAATGATAAAAAGACGCGAATCGCAAAAATATAAATAACAAATGTTTCTGTCCTCGACTGGACTCCCTTCAGTGATACATGAGAAATTAATTAAACAGAAATATAAACGGTCAGCAGATAAAAAAGTCAGAGATTGTCACACTCCAAAGGCACGTCAACATATATCAAAATTTATTATCCACCACAAAGTTTTTCCTAGAACTTGCGGGAGGAAATTGAAGTCAGACAAGCCCGAAAATTTAAATAAACCTATTTATTTATGTTTGTTTTGATTTTATGGGAACTGTTTCGTTATGTTGAATTAGAATTAAAAACTATATATAAGAAAAATAATTATATTAATTTTCTACAACTTTTGTTTCGGTACTTTTTGTTAAAAGACGCATATTTTCCATGATATTTGGAAAAATAATCACGATTTCAGAGATTTTTGAGCGATAACTTTTTAAGAAAGCATTTTTCGACCCATGTTTATCGGAACTTTTTTGTTCAGAATTAAATTTCCTATAAGATCTCAAAGTCTGGCTGGAACGTTCGAGGCCACCCTGTATATATATGTGTCAAAATTATATACATATAATACTCTCTACCCCCTATATAAGATATTTTTAAATATTTTCATCCCTGTCCCTTTATTAGAAGCGACATGCGCAACCTTTTCTCGTCCATAGTCGTGTGAGTTTATAAAGAGAGAGTTTGCTCTCTTATTTTATAGTCGCATACCGTGCTCGTGTAATTCGCCAACGGTTTTTCCGACCCAACAACGTAATTGCCGTCACCGCCGCGTAACGGGCGAGAGGGGATGAAAGAGAAGCCGAGGGAAATGGCACGATGGGAAGAAATGTATGTACCTGTGTCGCGATTGTAAGAAATGCATTGCTGTACCGTGTATCGTGATCCGGTGACATGGAAGAAGCAATGACGAATCGCTCTCTTCGAAAAGGCATCGTACTCACGAGCGAGTGATCATCCAAAGACTTAGCGTTTATTTTTATTAACATTAATTTTAAGTTAGCGTTAAATCTTTTTATTTTTATTTTTATTAATTTTTGTCGCGATTTTTGCGGGCGTTATATCGGTGACGGTCGTCGAGATAACGCGAAGAATTTCAAATCGATAGCATTCTGTAAAAAAAAAAAAATGTAATTTTAAAAATATATAAGAATAAAAATTTGTTAGTAAATTTTTACACCGTGGATCTCCTTCTGCACAAAATTCGGTACGAGTCTTTTACAATTCGCGGATGCTTCCCGTGTTCCCCGCGGCAGCAACGCCCGTAATTGGTCCGTTGCGAGTGACGTTGCACCGCATTGTATGGCAGGCACGACTCGGCTCATCCGAAAGGGCCCCCTCGCTCGCAGCTCTCTCTCTCTCTCTCTCTCTTTCGCTTATAAGGAACTTAATCTACCAGAAAATATGCAATCTAGATAATAACAGAGCCACCGCTCTCGGGCGCGAGATCATTATGGTTGTTATTAAACTTAAAATAACAATTTAGCGTTTAATTAGATTCGTTCGTGGGGGCCCGACGCCGCGCGGGCACCCCTCTCAGAAGACCGCGCTTCTGTAAGAACGACGACCGGGGGGGCTGCCTCGGCCCCCTCCTTCTTCTCTCTCTTTCGCTTCTCCTCTTCGACGCGACTTCCGGCGAAATCTCATTATACCTGGCGCACCGACGTCGCGCGTCAACCACGTCGCCGAATCTCCGCTCTAGTGATGTTGCGTTTTTTGCAATTGTAAACTGTAGAGTCGATCTAACGTTATAATCTTGTTTCGCTTTCCTTTTTTTTTTTTTTTTTTTTTTTTTAAATATAAAACGACGTCGCGCGTCGCCGAATCTCCGCTCTAGTGATGTTGCGTTTTTTGCAATTGTAAACTGTAGAGTCGATCTAACGTTATAATCTTGTTAATCTTGTTTTTTTTTTTTTT